CAGTGGGCTCTGGCAGGGAGGGCTGTTGGCTGCTTTGCCTTGCTGGTCATCATGTCCCTGGCCATCCTGTCCCACCAGTCACTTTGTCCCCCTGGAGACCAGGTCTCCCTTGGCTCTTTGTGACCATAGCAGGTCTGGGCTCTGATCAGTCTCTGAGCCCTGGGAGCACCAACAGTCCCTGCTTTGGGGATTTTCTGTTGGGATGGGGATTCCACTACTGCCTTGGGCAGCCTGTTCCAATGCCTGATCGCCCTTTCCAGGAAGGAATTTTTCCTAATATCCAATCTAAAACTGCTGTGGTGCAACATGAGGCCATTTCCTCTCATCCCATCCCTTGTTCCCTGGGAGCAGAGCCTGACCTGCCCTGGCTGCCCCCTCCTGTCAGGGAGTTGTGCAGAGCCAGAGCCATCACACACCTGTCAGCAGCTCAGTCCCTTTTCCAGCCACACGCATCCCATGGGAAACATTCCATGCCACCCAAATTCCTAAAGAGCCAAGCTGGATTTATCCACAGGGAGGTTTTATTGAGGGACTGAGGCTTTTAGGAGAAGAAATTGTTGGGAAAACCACCCCTGTGGTTGTAGGCAGCCTGGGGTGACTGTCTGCAGCTCAGAAGGTCCTCCCTGAGCCTCCTTTTCTCCAGGCTGAGCCCCTTCCCAGCTCCCTGAGGCTCTGCTGGGGCTCCAGCCCCTTCCCAGCTCCGTTCCCTTTGCTGGACACGCTCCAGCCCCTCCAGGTCTCTCCTGTCAGGAGGGTCCCAGAGCTGCCCCAGCACTGGAGGTGCCCCAGCAGTGCCAGCTCAGGAGTGCATCAGCGGGGCTGGGGGGCTGTGCTGAGGTGTCCCCCAGCCTGTCCTGACCAGGCTGTCTGCATTCAGGGAAAACGCTGAGAACATGTACTTCTTCTCGGAGCTGGCGCTGACGCTGAACGAGCCCGAGGAGCGCGTGGCGCCCACGGACAGCCGGCTGCGCCCCGACCAGCGCCTGATGGAGAGCGGCCGCTGGGACGAGGCCAACGTGGAGAAGCAGAGGCTGGAGGAGAAGCAGAGAGCCGTGCGCCGGCGCAGGGAGGCCGAGGCCGTGGAGGCCCTGGAGGAAGGTGAGGAGTGCTTGGGGGTGGCTCAGGATGCAGGGCCTGCACTGCTGAGGGTTGTGGGGGACACAGCCTGCAAGGGGAGGGCAGCTCTGGGGAATCCTTGTGGGTGGGTTTGGGGCGCTTGTGGGGCTGGTTGGGTTTTTGGGGCAGTGGGCTCTGGCAGGGAGGGCTGTTGGCTGCTTTGCCTTGCTGGTCATCATGTCCCTGGCCATCCTGTCCCACCAGTCACTTTGTCCCACTGGATACCAGTCTTCCCTTGGCCCTCGTGACCACGGCAGGGCTGGGCTCCAATCAGTCCCTGAGCTCTGGGAGCACCAGCAGACAGTCCCTGCTCTTCAGGGAGCTGTGGGATTGGGGGCTGCAGGAGCAGGAGCTGCCCTGACCCCCGTTCTGCCCGGCAGGGAAGGACTACGAGGGGTACATCCCGCTGTGGTTCGAGCGCAAGGTGGACGCCGTCACCGGGGAGCTGATCTGCGTCTACAAGGGTGGCTACTGGGAGGCCAAGGACAAGCAGGACTGGAGCGTGTGCCCCGACATCTTCTGAGCCCCCCAGAGCTCGGGGGCCACCCCTGGACAGCAGCACAGCCCGAGGGACAGCGAGGACACGCCAGCAGCGTACCGCCGGGCCCACAGAGTCAATACATGCAGAGATCCAAACAGGGATTCCAAACCTATTTTTTTATGCACTAATAAATAGCATCTTTTTTTTTTTTTTTTAAATGATGGCTTTTCCAGCGACTGCTTAGGAGTGAGGACACGTGGAGCTGGGTTGGGTTTAGGATGTTCATTGCTGTCAGGAGTTGCTGCCTATATCCTCCAGCGCCTTGGCTCCGGTGGCTGAGACGTCGACTTCCAAAGATGCCCAGGGTGTGGGAATGCTGTGCTTGTGTGAGCTCTTCTCTTTGCCATTTTTTTCCTTTTTTTGGGACCCCATTTCTGTGTGGACTTTATGGAATTATTTTTTTAAAAAAACAAATCTTGCTCCTGGTTCAGGTTTCCTTCAAAGATGGACATGAACAACTCTGCTTGGAAAACTGTCCCCAGGAGCTGTGGCACTTGATCCCAGAGGCTCTTGGTGGTTCCACAGTGTCCAGTCAACCCAGTAACACCAAGTAGGATATTTCAGCTGTGACTTTGAGGTTTTTGACCTGGTTTTCATTTTTTTCAAGAGCGTCGGAGGTGCTTCCCCACAGTCTGATGTGTTCAGGCAAAGCTTGGGCCTGTCTTTATCGTGTGGGAGTGGTTTGAGTGAGGTTTGCTTTGGTTTTCCTGCAACCACATCGGAAGGGGGAAATGGCCCCTGCAGGCTGGGAAGGCCAGGCTGATGCAGTGAAGAGTTTTTGTCCCAGTGATGCTCCTGGCTCCGTGTCCCTGCTCTGTATCCCTGCACATGGGGGCTGGATCTCAATTCCAGCTTTTCCATCAGTGTTTCCCTGCTGAGCTGGGCCTGAGGCTGAGAGGAGGGAAGAGGTGCCATGGGGAGAGGAGAGATGCCGTGGTGCTGCTGGGATGGAGCCTTGGTCCTGCATCTGCCACCCCGTTCAGCCAGCCAGGCCTGGCCACAGGCTGAGGCTGGAGGGTCCCTGCATCCCAGCACCCGCTCCCAACTCCTGTTCCTCCCCTCCCTCATCCTGGGCTCTCCCTGCAACAGCTCCAGTTTGTCAGGGCAGGGACCCCTCACCCCCCTCACCCCTTCTGGGTGCCATCACCCTCCCTGGCCCTGGATGCACCAGGAGGAGTGGGGCGAGCACTGCTGGTGACAGGTGAGGACTGGGAGCCCCGAGGGGAAGCAGGAGGTGATGGCATCCCAAAGATGGGATTTGCTGGGCCAGGGAGTAGCAGGAACACCTGGAGATGTGCACTGGCCCTGCTGGATCCCATTTTTGCTGTCCCCTCTGCCTCTCCATCTCCACACTGACCCTGCCTCCGGGGCCGCCCCGAGCCAGCCTGTCACACCCACGTGAAGTTAATTAGCAATAATGAACCTTGAGGCAATGGTAACTGGAATATCCAGGCTTGCACACGGGACACTTATGCAATCAGGTTCCTCATCCATCAGTCTCCTTCTGATCAGCTTCCAGCACTTCCATCCCTGTGATCCCCACAGTGTACAGTCCCCACGGCCCTGACGGCGTCACCGTGCTGCAGGGCAGCCCCCACTGCTCTCAGTACACCCTTTAATCTTATTTATTTGCTTCTAATTTATACATATATATATATAAATATATAAAAAATTATTTTGCTTAAATTTCTATGGTACACAAAAGATGAAAAATGATGAAGACAGAAGTGTCTGTCTGAGTTTTTACAGCACGAGTACGATTCCCCTCGGCTCGTCCCTGAGCTCGGGTGGTGGTGATGGAACGATTCCCATGGCAGGGAAGCAACGGTTTGCTCCAAAGCTGGATCATGTAGCATGGAAAAGGTGTTCCAGAGACATTCCCATCTGGAAATCGTGTGTTTGGGGTTTGTGGCACTAGGGATTCCTGGGAGTGGGATGCTCCAAGCTGCTTCCCAGTGTCCCAGGAGTTGCAGCAGCTGCTCCGGAATGTTCACTCCTTCCTGGAGCTTTGCCCCGGCTCAGGAAAGCTGATCTTAAATGCTCCAGCCTGGGATTTGGTCTGGGAGAGCTGCCTGTGTCCTGGCCCCAGGTGTCCTGCCTGGGAGAGGGGGGATGCTCCCCCCTGATCCCTGGTGCCGCTGCCCTGCCTTGTGGCAGCACCGAAGTGTCCGGGGGATTTGTCCCCGAGTCGGGTCTGTAGAAGGGGCTGAAATGGAGCTCTTCAGAATGCCTTATTTGCCTTTTTGCTGTGTCAATGCAAGTGTCACCCGGGAGCTTGGAGCAGGGAGGAGCTGCAGCACAGGCTGTTCCCAGGCTGGATCGGGGTTCCTGGTGGAGCAGAGGCAGCGGGATGTGCTCCCTGCGTGCTGGCACCGAGGGTCCTGCTGGGCTCTGGGGCCCCGAGGGGTCCCCTCTGCTGTGCCCCCATCTCCTCCATCTGGGAACCCCATCACAGACCCTGCACAGCTCCACGGAGCCTGGGGGAGCACGAGGAGCACCCCAACCCAGAAATCCCCCGGATTTTAGGCTAATGGAAAAAATTGCTCCATCTTCCAGAGATCATCTTATCAGCAGCACTTAACCAGAGCACCATCTCCTGGTCCTTCTGTTCCTCCTTGAGGATTTTAATGTCATTCCACTGTAAATGCTGTTGAATGTATTTTCTTTTCGAACAACAATATATTGTGAGTGATCCTTCTTCTCCTACACGGAAATAAAACTTGGATTCGGGAGTTTTAAAGGCCGTGGTGCTGAGATGGTCACTGGCTCCCCAGGGCTGCAGGTCCTGGAGGAGCTCTGGGTGTGAGGGGGGACATGGACACGGGGTGGGGGGACAGGGAGGCATCCTGGAATGTGGCTCAAAGGAGGAGGTTGCTCAAAGGACAGGGAAGTCCAGGGAAATGGTTGTTCAGGGAAGGAGAAGGATCTGGGGAGGATCTGCCAAGGGGAGGAGGTGGTGCAGGGAGGGTGGTTTGAGGGGCAGGAGGGGACGTGATCCAGGGGAAGTTGTCCAAGGCAGGAGGTCCAGGGAAGCAGGAACATGGAAGGAGATTATCTGGGAGCAACAGCCTGAAGGAGAAGGAGGGCAGGGTTTGCCCCCGGAGGGAGATGGGCCAGAGGAGATCATCGGGGTGGAGATGTCCCAGGGGAGCCTGGACAAGGGGGAAGGTGATGGTGGCCCAGAGGAGGAGGAGCAGCAAACGGGGCTTAGGGAAGCTACCCAGGCACGGAGATTCCCTGGGGATGGTGGGGAGGAGCTGTTCCATTCTGTGGGGCAGGAGCTGGCCCGGGGAGCTGGAGGAGGGTCCGGGCAGGGGCTGCGGAGGCGGGTGGGGAATGCGGGCAGGCTCAGACCGGTCCCTGCGGGATGTTGCCAGGAGACAGGGACACACAGCCCTGCCCGTCCCGCTCCTGCCTCCTCTCCGCCGGCCCCAGGTGAGTCGGGGCTGCGGTGGGGGGACCGGGCCCTGTGACCCTCGCTGTGCTCCCGGGGGCACCTGCAGCTCCCGAGGGCAGCTCCAGTGCCCATGTCCCGGGCTTGGGAAAACCAGCCCGGCCCCATCACCCGCTGGCACCGCAGCGCCGGGGGCGCTGGGCCGGGCTGGGCCCTGCCGGTCTCAGCACCTGCACTGAGCCCTGGCCCTGCTCACCCGGGCCAGCACACCCGGGCCAGCACACCCGGGTCAACACACCCGGGTCACACCTGGCCCAGCACACCCGGGCCAGCACACCCGGGCCAGCACACCCATCCCTGCACATCTGGCCCAGCACACCCGGGTCAGCACACCCGGGTCAGCACACCTGGGTCACACCTGGCCCAGCACACTCGGGTCAGCACACCTTGCCCAGCACACCTTGGCTCCAGCACCGCCTTGCCCCATCCCCTCCAGCGTGCAGCCCAGGGTGGTTCCTGCCCTGCCTGGCCCCGCTGGAGAACGCCCCTGGGGATTTCTGGCCCAGCCCCAAGGGCTTTGAGACCCTCAGCGCTTCTTTTCTCCTCTCTGCAGCCCTGGAGCCCAGGGCTTTAAGGATCCTGGATCTGGACCCTGCTGAGGAAATGTGAAATCCAGGTCTGGGGTGTGGGAAGAGGGGGTTCCTTTGCAGGGAGCAAAGGAACCCCTGCAGCCCTGGGGTGCTCCTACCTTGTCCCCGCTGGTGAACACATCTGGCAGTGCCCCATTCCCTGTCCCGTTGCCTGTCCCACTCCCTGCAGCACCCGGCTGTGGCTGTGCTGAGCGCTGGTGGCAGCGGGGTCGGTGCCATCCCTCCCGGCAGTGTCCTGCCATGGCCGGTGAGTGGGCACGGGGCACCCCGGGGCTTTCTCAGCTCTGCTTGCCCCCCTGCGCCACTTCTCCTGGAGAACAATGCTTGGCTGAGAATGGTGATGGAGCAGAGGTTCAGGGAGCTGGGAAGGGGCTGGAGCCCCAGCAGAGGCTGAGGGAGCTGGAAAGGGGCTCAGCCTGGAGAAAAGGAGGCTCAGGGGGGACCTTGTGGCTCTGCACAGCTCCTGACAGGAGGGGACAGACGGGGGGTCTGGCTGTGCTCCAGGGAACAGGGACAGGAGCAGAGGGAATGGTCTCAGGCCGGGCCAGGGGAGGTTTAGACTGGAAATTAGGGAAAATTTCTCTCTGGGAAGAGCTGACAGCATCCCTGCCCCATCCTGGATGCTGCCAGCCCTCCCTGGCACTGCCCTCCTACCAAACTGTGCCGACCCTGGGGACATCAAGGTCAAAAATGACCCTGGTTTAGAACGAAAATAAGGACGATATCATGGCTTTTTCGTCCAACTGGAGGCAGTTGAGGATCTTGCGGGAGAGGGTGGGATGTGTTCAGTGTCAGTGCTTTGGTGCACCCCGAGTGCTCCCTGCTAAGAACAGGCCAGTCCCTCCCAGGTGGTTCAGATCCAGCAGGATGGGAAGGTTCCTTCCCACTGGGGTGGGCTCATGGCTCTGCTGTCCCCCACAGAGCTGGCAGGACATCGTGCTGGCAGTGCGCGGGGTGGCAGCCCTGTCCCACGGGAAGAGGAGCACTCCTGGGCTCAGCTCCCGGGCTCCCGGCCCCGCCCGGGCCACTGGAGCAGCTCCAGCTCCGTCTGCACCGAGGACTTCGCTGTCGCCTTTTGGGAGGGAATGGTGGAGCCGCTGCTGTGCCAGCAGGAGCCTGCTGGGGATGTCCCCACGGCAGGAGCCCATCCTGGGCAGGACCAGCCCTTGTTCCCCACAGGGAGGAGCCTGGACACGGCCATGGAGCCGGGCAGAGCCCCCGGGCAGGACCGGTCTCCATCCCGGAGCAGCCTGGAGTCCCTGGGAGCGAGGATCTCCCGCCTGAGCCAGAGCCATGGGGGGGTGGTCTGGGGGGTCCCCTGGCCGGGCCCCCCTGCCCGGCCAGCCCTGGGCCACAGGGACTCTGCCCGTGGGGAGCTGCTGGCCACGGCCCTGCCTGGGCGCTCCTGGAGAGCTGCAGGGATCGCTGCTGGCAGGAGCAGGGCTGGCGCAAGGACAGGCTCTCCTGGCAGCAGTGTCCCCAGGGCCAGCAGTGCCAGAACCAGGGCACATCCCGCCCTGGGGCCACCAGCTCTCGGGGGACGTGGAGGGAATGTCACCTTCAGTGTGGCTGCCATGGACAGGGAAGGAGCGGCCCGCAGCAGGAGTGAGTGCGGGCTGGCCCTGGGGCACTGGGAGGGTGCAGGGCTGTGACAGGCAGGGCCAGGGACATGGCAGGGCCAGGGACACGGTGGCAGGGACCAGGCCCTGTTGCCTGTGGGTTTCTGCGTGTTAGTGCTCTCCTCCCTCCCCAAATGCCATTTTCCCCGCAGGTGCTGGCTCAGCCATGGGAGCCCCCGGGCGATGGGGGTCCCCTGTGTCCCCAGGGCTGCGTGGGGACCAGAAAGGGGAACTGCCCTGCAAGGTACAGCCCTGGGGTTTGGGGTTTGGGGTCCGCCACGGGCACAGCCCTGCCTGGGACAGGATGGTGGGGGCAGGGATGGATGCAGGGATGCTCCTGGCTCTGCTTCCAGCTGGGATCTGGAGAGCAGCAGGACACCGAGCTTGGCCCTGGCCCTTGTGTCCCACGTGGTGGCCACAGAAATGCACGGGGAAATGCAATGGAAAGGGGGAAAATGGGATTGTAACCCCAATGCTGGATGCCAGGGGGTGGCGGGGCAGCCACTGTGCTGGTCCCTGCGGAGGAGCCGGGAGGGGACACGAGAGCTGGGATCTGGTGCCAAGCCCTGGAGCCCAGGGCACAGAGCCAGGTATGGGGCTCCAGGGATGGCTCCTGCACCGAGGCTGGAGCAGAAGGCAGCCCTGGAAGCCCAGGAGGGGATGGGCATCCTGAGGGCAGAGCTGGGCTGTGGCGTGACTGGGGATGTGGGTGATGGTGTCCCTGGCACAGGACTGGCCTGGCACTGCTGGGACACACCTGGGACACCCATCACAGGTGCCACATGGACCTGCAGAGGATGGTGAGGTGACCTCGGGATGGCCCAGGCAGGGGCTGGGCTGGCACTGCTGCAGGTGGCAGGGACAGGCTGGGGTGGCTCTGCTTTGCTGCTCTGGGCGTGTTGGGAGGGCCAGAGCTGGCTCCTGGAAGAGGCCAAGATGTGGGAATGGGAAAAGAGGTTTTTGCAGTCTTGGCAGGGGCAGGGAGCCTGTGTGGGCCAGGAGTGGCTGGACAAAGAGAGAAGGAAAACAGCAACTGCACAAGAAGAGAAACTGGAGCTGCTGGAGGTCAGTGCACTCCTGGTTTTCCAGAGGAGCCAGGATCACACCAGAGGGGCCATGGGAAGGAGCACACACATCACACCTTGCCGCAGTTCAGTCCCTTTTCCAGCATCCCACGGGAAATATTCCTGCAGCCCAAATTCCTAAAGAGCCATGCTGGATTTATCCACAGGGAGGGTTTATTGAGGAACCGAGGCTTTTAGGAGAAGAATTTGTTGGGAAAACCACCCTTGTGGCTGTAGGCAGCCAGAGGTCACTGTCTGCAGCTCAGAGGGTCCCTGGAGAGCCCCGGCAGAGGCAGGGAGAGCTGGAATGTTGGGAAGGGCAGAGAAACAGGCAGGGCTGGGGGCCGGGGTGAGAATTCCTGGGCACCGACCCAGCAAAGCTCAGCCCTTTTGCAACGGGCAGCAAGGCTGGGCTGCTGCCCGGACACTGCCCTTGGGAAGAGCCCGGCAGGGCTGCAGGGTGGCCCTGGGCAGCCAGAGGGTGACTCCGGGTGTGCTGCAGAGGCTGCGGGAGCTGGAGCGGGGCAGCCGGGCCCTGCTGCGGCAGCGGCTGCGGGTGCTGCAGCGGCTGCACGGGCTGCTCCGGAGCGACCGGGCCGAGACCCTGCGGCAGCTCCGGGCGGCGCTGGAGCGGGCCGGGCCGGGAGCAGGGAGCGCCGGGGAGGTGAGGCCGCCCCGGGACACAGCCCCGGGACAGAGCCCCCGGACACAGCCAGCCCCACAGCCGGGGACCGGCCAGGGGGCACAGCAGCCCCGGTGTGCTGCTCCTCCGGGGCCACCCAGGGGAGCGGGGCTGCTGGGGACACTGGTGTCTGGGGGTGGCTCGGGAGGGACCCCGGGTGTCTCTGTGCTTGTTCTGCTCCTTCCAAACCTCTGCTCAGCCCGGGGGCTCCGGGTGTTCCCTGGAAGCTCTCCCAGGGGGGCTGAGCGGCCCTGAGCCCTCTCTCGCTGCCCCTGCAGGGCCGGGCCGGCGGCGGCGCCCGGCGGGAGCAGCTGCGGAGCCGCCTGCGGGACCCGGCGGTGCCCGGGCGGGCCGGGGGCTCCCCGGCCCTGGGGACGGCCCCGCTGGCCCCGCGGGGACACGGCCCCCGCCCCGGCGGTGCCGTGGGACCCGGCCCCTCGCCGGCAGCCTTCGGGTGGGTCCCGGGAGCTGCCCAGGGGGACGGGGGGTCCCGCTCGTCCGATCCCCGCTCCCTAAATTCCCCCGGAGCTCATCCCCGCCCTCCCCCAGCCGCGCTCTGCACGCCCTGAGGGGGCTCCGGCAGCAAATCCAGCGGCGCCTCGGGCAGTGGCAGAGGCTGCAGGGAGCCCTGGGAGCCGCTGGACACAGGAAGGAGGTGATTTGGGGCTGGGAGGAAGCACATGGGGCCCATGACAGCATCAGCCCTTGGAGGAGCCCCCACTGCCACGCTCGGGGCAGTGCCAGCCCTCCCTGCAGCAGGGAGCGGGGCCAGCCGTGTTCCTGTCCCCGCAGGACGACGAGCAGAGGCAGCAGCCGGACACGGCCCCAGCTCCAGGAGCCCCGAGGGAGCCCCTGGGCCAGGTGAATCAGGCCCCAGGTCCTGCTCCGAGCCTGGGCTGAGGTTCAGGGGGCCAGGCCTCAGGGGGTTGGGGTCTCAGAGAGCCGTGGGGACCCCCAGATCACCTCCAGAGGCTCCGTGTCCAGCTCAGCCTGGTGAAATGTCCATCAGGTGACACGGCGTGTGTCCTGCCACCTGGAGCTGCCCCTCGTGTCCATGGCTGGGCTCCAAGCCACGAGAAGCCAGAAATGTGTGGGCAGGATCCTCCTGGAGCTTCCAACCCTGAGCTGACCTGACCTTTCCCTCTCTTGTGCAGAGACAGAGGGAACATCTCCATCCCACCTCCTCCGTGTCCCTGAGCTCCATCCCTGGGCCCCCCCAGCCTGGCCGGGGCTCCCCAGGGCTCCTGCAGCACCTCCAGCACCACTTCCAGGAGCTGCAGCTGGAGAAGACACAGAGCACGGGGAGCCCCCCTGCCCTGGGGGGACAGCCCGGGGTGGGGACTCCCCCTGTGCCCCAGCCCCGCTGCTGATCCGAGGGCAGCAAGAGGGGCAAAGCTCCAGCGTGGAGCACAATTCCTGCTGGGAACAGCCCTGCGGCAGGGCTGTGGCCTCAGGCAGGTCTCACCACCCACCACCATCTATCCGTGCCTCCAGGTGACCTCAGGGCCGTTTGTTGATCCTGGGGGAGTCAGGTGGGATGGCCATGGAATCCCGGGAAGCCTCTGCAGAGCCTGCCTGGATCAGGCTCGGGGTGCCCACATCCTCTTCCCACTCTGCAGCTCCTCCTCTGCTCCCATCTCCCACTCTGGGATAGAGCTGGGACAGGCTGGAGGTGACATTTCCTTTTCTGCTCTACCACGAGGACACCAGTTGGATATTTGGGAAAAGCTCCAAGCTGAAAAGGAAGTGAATCACTGGCCCAGGCTGCCAGGACAGTGGTGGAATCACCATCCCTGGAAGTGTCCAAGAAACAGGTCCATGTGGCACTTTGGGATGGGGTTTAGTGGGATTTGGTCAAAGGTTGGACTAGATGATCTTGGAGGTCTTTTCCAGCGTGAATGATTCCATGATTCTGAGTTTCCTACCTGCACACTGAGGTCCCAGTTATGGAATTCCAACAGGCAGAACCAAGCTCCTGCAAATTCCTTGAGAAGTGCCACGAGGTTGTGAGGGAGCTGCCAAGTGCCCTTGGACCAGTGGGATCTGCCCAGGGAGCCAGGCTGGGATGGCTGACCCCGGGACAGAGAGGTTTAATGGAAAAAACCCAAGGGAATTGCTGTGTTTGGATGCTTTAATTTAATTTGGAAAAGGAGAAACCCATTCCTCACTCTGGGAGATCTCCTTGGGAAATGCTGGTTTTAATTTGCAGGAGAACATCCAAGGAAAGTTTCTCCATGTGAAAAGGGGAAATGGGAGTTTCCTGCAGGATTTTATTGCTGTGCCTTGTTCCAGGGGGAGGGCGGATGAGGATTGAAGTATCTGTGTGCTTTCTTTCCAATGAAAATAAAAGTGAGTTTTATTATGTTTCTCTGCAATGTGTGATCAGGGAAAATCTGGAATCCCCCTGGATGCTCAGCAGGTCCCTGGCTGAAGTTCAGGATTTATTATTTTTCTTTTAAGTTTCACAGCCAGAACAGTGCCACAAACACATTTTTATACAGAGCTTTTAATGAAACCCCAAATGTTTGCAAGGCTCCTGGAATGTCTCTGCCAACCTCAGGACTCCTGGACGTGTGGATGACACCAAGGGACACAAACCTGATCCTTCAGCAGGAGATTGCTGGAGAAAGGGTTCCCAAATCCCTGAATGGCCACAGCCAGGACCTCATCCTGGGGGATTTTCTGCCTTGTCCAAGTTTCAGGTGTTCCCTCAGGATGTCACAGAACCAGGGAATGCTGGGGGCACCTCTGGGGTGTTGGGGCAGGGACCCAGGGCTGGGTTGCAGGGTCCCAGACAGAGCAGGGATCCAGTTTTGGGGTGCAGAGACCCAGTTTTGGCCTGTAGGGACCCAGCTTTGGGGTGCAGGGTCCCAGAGAGGGTTGGGTGCCCAAATTTTGGGTGCAGGGTCCTGGTGCTGGTGCCTGGGTCCAGGTCCATGTGCAGGGTCCTGGATCCTTTGGAGTCTTCCCACTGCCACAAGATCTTGAAATTATTCCCCAGGGACAAAAGAAGAATAAAAAGGATGTGATTTAACGGAGGTATTTTGTTTGGTTTGATTCTGGGGTGGGCTGTGTCCTTTCCAATGGGAAGTGATGGAGTCTTCCCACTGCCACAAGATCTTGAAATTATTCCCCAGGGACAAAAGAAGAATAAAAAGGATGTGATTTAATGGAGGTATTTTGTTTGGTTTCATTCTGGGGTGGGCTGTGTCCTTTCCAATAGGAAGTGTGCTGGGAATGCTCTTGGGATGGAGTTTTACAGCCCTGTGGTGCCATTGGGATTTTGGAATCAATTGAACTTTCCTGAGAGGAGACTCTTAAGGAAGCACAGGCAGCAGATGGAGTCAGACTTTTAAAAATGTCCATGAATTCACCTTTCCCCAGCCCTGTTTTGGACCCTGGGGTGCAGCTGGAATGTCTCAGCCTGACACCTGCAGCCTCTGCTTTGCTCTGGAGCCATCCAGAGGATGCCAGGGATTGCTTTGCTCCCTGGCCAGGGCAGGGGCTGCTGATGCTGTTAAAGGCTCTGAGGTGCAGCACAACAGAAAAACAGCTGGGAATTCCTCATGCTCTGCTCTGGAGCCAGGCTGGAGAGCTGGGGGTGCTCAGCTGGAGAGGAGAAGGCTCCAGGGAGAGCTCAGAGCCCCTTGCAGGGCCTGAAGGGGCTCCAGGAGAGCTGGAGAGGGACTGGGGACAAGGGATGGAGGGACAGGACACAGGGAATGGCTCCCACTGCCAGAGGGCAGGGATGGATGGGATATTGGGAATTAGGAATTGTTCCCTGGGAGGGTGGGCAGGCCCTGGCACAGGGTGCCCAGAGCAGCTGTGGCTGCCCCTGGATCTCTGTCAATGCCCAAGGCCAGGCTGGACACAGGCTTGGAGCAGCCTCATCAGCCCCAAATGAAAACAAACCTCCCTAATTCCCACTTTTCCTGGGCAATCCTGCTTCATCACCCCATTCCCTGAGGGTGATGATGAACTCCAGCTATGTCACAGGGAGCAGGGTGGGTTCAGGGAGGGATATTGACCAACTGCTCATTAATTCTTGCTATTCCAAGGCAATATCAGCCTGGGAAAGACCTTTTTATTCTCCTGTTTAATTATTACCCACAGTAATGAGGGTGCAGCAGTGCTGAACTAAAGGTGCCTTTGCTGTCATTTCCTAATTCCAGAAATTCCTGTAGGATGCTGCTCCAGCAGAGCGTTTATTCCCATTTTAAGACATTTTGTAATGAGTATTGGACTCCAGAGGGGAACTCTGCTTGGAAGGAAATTTTGGTGGTCCCACAGCAACAATTCCCACCCAGCCTAGAGAATTCCAGTCCTTCCACTCCTCAGGCTGCCCATCCCCAAGGAGCCCTGCTCCATAAGGTGTGTGTTTTGTTGAAATCCCATAATTTCCATGGAATGGCAGGGATTGCTGTTCAGTCCTTGACCATCATTGCCCATTAAGCAGGGTCAATTAATTCTCTTAATTTCAGTGTAATTAAATTTATTAGATGCATTCTGTACTCACACTGAACAACTCCTGTCATCATTTCTGGCTCTGGCAGCCAATTATTGGGGTTTTCTTTCTTCTCCATGGATGGTCCCAGCTAATTGTGCCCATGGTGAGAAATTCCCACTTTTCCTGGGAAAATTGGGGTAATGAGGGGGGAAAAGGGGGAAATTCACCATTGGCCAATCCTGGAAGTGCTGCCCATCCCTGGAAGAGCCCCAGACCAAGCTGGATTTGGCTTGGAGCACCCTGGGATGGTGGAAGGTGTCCCTGCCTGTGGAAGAGGATGTATTGGGATGGGGTTTAGGTCTTCCCCTCAGGAATGTTCTTTCATCCCTTGTGGAAAGAGAGTAAGAGGGAAAAAAACCCAAAGCAAATCCACCCACCCAAGCAGGAGCAAAGAAACTCTTTTTCCACTTGGGTGATGTGAGAAACTGGATGGAAAATTGAATGGAAAAAGGAAATAAAACCAAAAGGAAACCACTGAAGTCACACGGAAAAGATGGAAAATGATGGGAAAGAAATAAGAAAAATGAAAAGCAATATCTACCACCATTGTGTTGGGGGATAAATGATGAGAAAGGAGATGAAACTTTTGCTGTCCTGCTGGGATTAAGGATTTTGACAGCCAGGGAGCATCAGAGCAAGGAAATCACCCCACTTCCCAATCCCAGAGGAAGAAACAGGGGGAAAATCCCTTCACTATCCCACCAGGAAAAAGTAAAGCAAAAAAAGTTAAAATCTGGAAAAAACTTTTCTACACTTTACTGAAAAAAGGGAGGAAGTTTGAAGAAGATGAAGGAAAAAATCAGAGAATAAATTAGAAAAACTGTGGAAATAAGAAAAAAATTAATTTCATGGAACTTGGAGAGCAAGATCTCTTTTACAGCAACATTGGATCAAACCAGGACACACGGCTGGGTTTGAGCAGGGCTGGGAGAAATCTGGGAATCAGCCATGGAAAAGCCAAGCAGGGAGTGGCTGGGAGAGTGAAAGGGGCTTGGAGCCAACAAATGGAGCAGTCTGGGAGATCCTGGTGCCCTTCCCTCTCAAAGCAGGCCTCACACACGGTTTTTAATGGGCACTTTCAGTGCTTCCATCCTCCCTCGAGTGAGAGCAAGGAACAGGATGCAAGCAGGTGAAGGAGCAGCATGAGGACATCGAGGTCAGTGAGGGAGAAGTCAAGTCCCAGATGGGAGGGATGAGGAGGTGCCTTGATATTGGGGCTGAAATCCTATAAGCTATGGAGAAAGGACTCTTCTTCCCTATGAATGTATGAGGAGATGAAGTGTTCAAATTGTAGATGTGAGCAAAGGCCTCTGTGCTAAGATAAGGAGATGTTGAAGTAGCTGTGGTCCCATGAGAAGTTTGAACAGAGAAAGAGCAAAGATTGATGAGACCCTCTGCCCCCAGGATGAGAAGACCTCTGTTCCTAGAGATGAAGATGATTTTAGAGCTAGATAATGAGAACCTTTGCCTTTGAACAGCTCACCCCTAAATTAGTACTCCATCAGTCGACATGGCCCATTGACAAGCTGTGGGAAATGATGGTGGAAAATGGGAGGGACTCCATGATTGCAGATTTCCCTGGGCAGCTGCTGTTTGTGAGGAAGTTGAGAGCCATGAGAGAAATGGTTTTTCCTCTTGTGGACAAGTCTCTATAACATTTACAAGAGGGACGTCTCTCCCTCAGTGAACTGAAGAAAGGCTATTCTAGAGGTGGTAAACTGACTGGAAATTTTAGGTTTTGTTTCTTTTCAGTGAGGGAGAAGTCAAGTCCCAGATGGGAGGGATGAGGAGGTGCCTTGATATTGGGGCTGAAATCCTATAAGCTATGGAGAAAGGACTCTTCTTCCCTATGAATGTATGAGGAGATGAAGTGTTCAAATTGTAGATGTGAGCAAAGGCCTCTGTGCTAAGATAAGTAGATGTTGAAGGGGCTGTGGTCCTATGAGAAGTTTGAACAGAGAAAGAGCAAAGATTGATGAGACCCTCTGCCCCCAGGATGAGAAGACCTCTGTTCCTAGAGATGAAGATGATTTTAGAGCTAGATAATGAGAACCTTTGCCTTTGAACAGCTCACCCCTAAATTAGTACTCCATCAGTCGACATGGCCCATTGACAAGCTGTGGGAAATGATGGTGGAAAATGAGAGGGACTCCACGATTGCAGATTTCCCTGGGCAGCTGCTGTTTGTGAGGAAGTTGAGAGCCATGAGAGAAATGGTTTTTCCTCTTGTGGACAAGTCTCTATAACATTTACAAGAGGGACGTCTCTCCCTCAGTGAACTGAAGAAAGGCTATTCTAGAGGTGGTAAACTGACTGGAAATTTTAGGTTTTGTTTCTTTACATTGTCAGCGGGAAAGCAAAGGTTGTGGGGGGAAGAGAAGTGTTCTGAAGGTTTTATTCTAATGCTTATTACACTTTATTTTAGTTATGGTTAAAAAAATTTCTTTATACCCTTTTAAAGTTTTGAGCCTGCTTTGCCTTTCTCCTAATCCTGTCTCCCAGCAGGAAGTGAGTGCACTGGGGATGGGCCAGCACTGAACCCACCACACTCTTTGGTGCTTTGGCTGGGAAATCTCAAAATTGGTGAAATCTCAAATTGGCAAGCCAAAACTACTACACGAAATTGTAAGATGTCCTTGCCCTTGGCAGGGGTGGGACTGGGTGGGATTTAAGGTCCCTTCCCACCCAAACCATTCCATGGTTCTGTGAAACCCTGGAGAATTCCTGGTGCTGAATGGACAAAGGTCAGCAAACTGTAACATCTGCCAAATCTTTTCAAAATGTGGGATACCCATAGAAGGCACAGCTGTGGAGTTTCCATCAGGAATTGCAGCCAGAGCACCTTTGGGGGTGTT